TAATTAGTTGTATTTTTTAATATATTAAAATAAAATAAAAGTAACGAAATAAAAACGCAAAGGTTCATTGAAATTAGTAAACAAAATATTTGAAATTATACGATTGTTCATGCTACGTGGCCGTTGTCAAGATGGCAACCAACAATGTCACAAATTTGAAGCGCGAAATTAATTAGAATATCGTTTCTGTTATTATTATTATTATTAATATTATTAATTATTATTATTATTATTATTATTATTATTGTTATTATCATTATCGTTATCATTATCATTATTATTATTATTATTATTATTGTTATTGTTATCATCATCATCATCATCATTACCATTATTATTATTGTTGTTGTAGTTGTTGTTCTTTTTATTGTTGCTGTTGTTGTTGCTATCGTTGTTTGTATTGTTGTTGTCGTCGTCATCATTGTTATTAAAAGTATTATTATTATTATTATTATCGATGACGTTAAAATTATTAGCAACAATGTTGACGTTGTTAATTAATCTATGCGTAGGGAGAGTTGTTTTAATTTGTTGTTGGTTGTTCAATGTAGGTTTTTGCATTACTATTAGAATGGCTTCAGCGAGTTTAAGATTTTGATATTGTTGGGTACTATAGATGATGGTTGTGTTATATTTTAATATATTAAAAAATACAACTAATTAACTATTAATAGAATTTATTTAAAATATATATTGCACTGATGATGACTTTACGTCGAAATAGATCTATATGCATAACTTTAATAATAATATAAAAAATAAACGATTATAAAAATGGGATCTTGCTTGATTAATTTTAACAATTAAAATCATAAACGATTATAAAATGGATTTCAACATTTTGAATAGACTTAATTGTAAAGAACTAGTTCAAAATATTAGAGAATCAACCATAAAACTTGTTAATGCTGAATCGTCGGTGGATTTTTTGAACAACTGTATAGAACTTGGTCTTCTTCCTAATATATATATATATATATATACGCATTTATATATATATATACATGAAAGGCCCGGTATGCATTTAAACTTGGGGCCCGGTTTGGCTGTCGGCGGCCCTGTGTGTGTGTGTGATGTGTGTGTGTGTTTTGGCATGCGCGCGCACCAGCAAGTTTTTATGCGTGTTTTATTTTAATCAATATTTTATATAGCCTAGTCAGTCCATTGATGTTCGTTGACGTAACAGCCTATAAATATGATGGTATTTCTGGTAGACAGGATGAGAAAGTATTTGTTGAGGTTCAGTTTAATAACCTTAAACTGGTCAGTCTCGTTGAAAATTTTTCCTTCAGATAAATTAATGTCTTGTTGTATTAGCGTTTTCAAGTTACTTGTTAATAGACCTTATTTAACGTTTACTTCATGTGTTTCATAAGGAGAAAAATTTTTCTACCACATTTTGTGGTCGTTACGGTTATGAAAACCTTGTCAACCTGCAATACGAGAATCTCAATGAAACAAATAGCGATGGGACAAAACCTTTCAATTCTGATTTGTGGTTATTTGATTGTTTGATAAAATTTGTGGGAAGTTCAATCAAATGCTCCTGTAACCAAACAGGCTTTGTTGGAGTTTTTCTGATTAAAAATGTTAGTCAGTTTTATTAAAAAAAACTTTTTGTTATTATTGTTTCAAAGAGAGAACAATAATTTGGTGCAGATTAGAACTTCAATTACTAAAAATTATTTTTTGGCAGAATTATCAAATACCATCTGTTACACCTGCTAATGTTGGCGTTTTCCTAGTAAACATTTATATTTTCAGTACAAAATTGAAATTTTAAAAATTTGGTGCATTATTCAAAATGATTTAAGTAATATTTGTTATTAATAACACAGAACTTCCCTTACATAGAAGAAATGAACTTAGCAGGAATGTTGCTGAGAGCAGTCTCCATAGTTGCCCTCGTGTTAACCATCTTGTCATATGCTTTATTTAAGTGAATATTTTTTTTTACATTTTTATGTGAAACTTTAGAATCAAATTGGATGGATAAAAAACTTGCGCTATCGTTTATGTGTCTAAACATTCTTATTTTGACATTGAAAAAACATGGAGTTCCATATTTAATAATTTTTTTTTGAAAGTTGATAAATTATATATCTTAATATACATAGAATACTTACACTGGCCCTCGAACGCACCCACGCCCATTTTCAATGCGCTTTAGGATCTGGTGTCTGGTGTCATTTTTTAGTTTCCATGAACAATTAGTTAATTAATTAATTCCATATAATTAGAATTCACTTTAATTAATTTAATTGTTCACAAAGTTTTAAAATTTTTATATTTTTCTAGTTTATTATTAATTGTCATTGTTTTTTTTCAAATTTTATTTATTTTGATTTTTTTTTCATCATCTTATTTCATGAATTTGCATAATATTTCCGAATGCTTATTTAGTGTTCTTGTTTGTTGTCATATGAATCGTAACAATCAGAGGCCATTATCATTGACAGGCACACCCTTTATATCATGTATAATTGTGGTTCTTCTTCTTTTACGTGCTTTATCCTTTCAGGGCCTTGGCAATCATCGACCTCTACAAAACACGATTTTTAACACTCTGTAGTAGTTGAAATGTGGGAATATTCAACATTTGACGCAAGGACTTCACGAATGTTATTCGTTCTTCAGCGCGACCTCTTCTCCCTGCAATCTTTCCAGTAGTTGTTAAATTTTTCATTTTTTACTTCCGCATGATGTGACCAAAAAATTTTAAATGCTTCTATTGGCTTATCTGTAGTAATTTCCTTTTTTTAATAACCGGACTGTTTTATACATCCTCATTCGAAGTATGAGAGATCTAACTAATTTTCATAATTTTCCTCAAAAACTACATCTCAGCAGCGTTAATCTTTTTTCACATTTCGATAGAAATTGTCCAGGACCTAGAGCCGTAAGTTAGCACAGGAGAAATATAACACACTAACAGTTTTAATTTTGTTGATATTCTGATTTTACTGTAAGTGAGGATGTTTTTTTATTCTAGAATATGCATCTTTCGTCATAGCTTTTTTTCTTTTGATATCCATATCACATTTACAATCTGAGGTAATTAGACTTTTAAGATAATAGAAGCTGTTGATTTGTTTCACTTATTTACCATTAATGATTATGGAGCAGATCTGGACGGTTTTGCTTTTAACTGATAACCATGCACTCTGTTTTGTTGATGTTAACTTGTAGCCCTTTCTTTCATTTTACAAAAACCAATTTGGAAACAATTGTTTGTAATTTTTACATGTAATCTGCTATAAGAGTTGTATCATCAGCATATCTTAAATTGTTTATATTCACGCCTCTAATGTAAAATCTGATAGATCTTTAAACTTTCTCATGATGATCTCACTATAGAAATTGCACAAGTCTGAAAAAAATATACAGCCTTGCCTAACACCTTTCTTTATTTTGACAAAACTAGTTATCTTGTTGCCAACTTGCATCGCTGCTGTTTTTTCCCAATAAAGGCTTTTGATAACTTTCGTGTCTTTTCCATCAATGTCTAAATTTTCTAATATTTATATAAACTCCACGTGTTTCACGCTATCAAAAGCTTTGGAGTAATCGACAAAACATATAAACAAGTCTTTCTTCATTTCAATCGCTCGTTCACTGATCATTCATAGCATAAAAATAGCGTTTCTTGTGCTACAACCCTCGACAAAACCACATTAGACATTTTAAATTTCAGATTTGATTTTGCTTCGTGCTCTCATCATCAGAATTCTCAAGAGAAGTTTTGTAAGATAACTAATAAAGCTTATTGTTTGATGTAGTTCACATTCTGTTGCATTAGGTTTTTTAGGTATGCAATAAATATTTCAAAGACTGTCATAGCCGGAGGTGGTGATGAGGTTAAGCTCTCCTCACAATTAAAACACCCCCATGACGTGCGTTTTAAATAGCTCTGACAGTCAAAGTCAAACTCGTAGCCTTTTCAAGGCGAAACTGTTTAAATTAACAGGAGAAAAAACGAAAGCCTTAAAATTAGCCGCTTCGGGTTGATTGGGCTTGTTACCAAGGTAAACTCTGATCTCAAACCTCAACTCTCTTGTGGCTATATTCTTTCTAGAGTAAGACTAAGGAAGTAAAGTCTAACAAAAAATCAGGCGTGGTTGTGCGTCTTTAAGACGATACGGTTGCTTCAACTTTTACTCGGCTTGCTACGTACCCATGTTTGTATGGCAAACAACCGGGAACAACTATATCCAATGTATTGTCCACATGGAGTCGTCTCAAAAAAACCTTATACAGCATCGCTCATTGCGCGGGTTTAAAAGGAGCGCGCAGTCTCGGTTAGCGTCGGCGTAACCCTCTTTACGGTCCCGTGCTGGAGCTAACTCTCTTGATCTGCGAAACACCACCCGGATCGGCTCTTTCAACATTTGCTCACTTTGCGCAACGAGTGGCGCAAGGATCCGGGTCCTCCTGGACAAATGTCGCCTTACGGTATATTCATTATGGACCTGCAGAAAGTTTGATGGCATGGCGCTGGTGAACTGCGTGTTAATGATTTCAATATATTTTGGTTGGGCCCAGCTGAGGCTTATATCCGGTTTGCTGGTGTTGATTTGGCTTTGAGCAATCAGACTAACCATGCACTAGTTAAATGACATCTGATCAGTGAAAGGCTGATGGTTGCTGGATTCAGATAACAATATGGTACTATGTCAGTGATTGTCTGCTACGCGCCAACTTATAAAGCGATGGCTGAGACCAAAGATCTCTTTTACAGCGCACTGGAAGACTTGTTTCGCTTCACCAGGCCCAACGACTTCACCATTTGCCTGGGCTACTTTAACGCTGTAACGGGTGTTGACTGCCGTATGCCTGCGGTAGTTGGCCCCTTTGGTACTGGGTCACCAAACGATAACTCTGATCGTTTCCCTGAATTATGTGCCTCTGCGAGATTTAAGGTTTGCGGATTCTGCTTCTGAAGATGAGTTTTCTTTGAAGGATTCATTTTGTGATACGAAGACCAAGTCGGCTGATAAAGTTCTCGGTCATGCTCTCCCTATGCGTCATGAATGGATCTCAACCGCGACACGGCGACTGATTGAAACAAAACGGCAGGCTAGACTTGGTGGCATGAAAAAACTACCTCTCTCCCTACATAGCGAGAGCAGGATATAGCTGTGTAGGGATCGTCAGGTTTGTGCGGACAAACTGGTAGCGGATGGTAAAGTAGTCTTGCTGATTGGACGAACCAAGGACGCTTTTGGTATTTTTTGGAATCTAGGATTGACAACTTCAACTGTCTCTAGCCTTATTTCCAGTGGTACTGGCCGGTTGATTAATGACGGAAGAGGAAAGCTAGAGCAATGGCGAGAATACTACAGCCTGTTGCTCAACTACGCAATGTTGGCACCCTTGCAGGAATTGCTGGATTTTGCTGAATCTACTGTCCCAGACCCCGGGGTTGACACTGAAACCTTTTTTGTAGCTGAGATTGTCGAGGCTTTAGGAACACTAAAGAACGGCAAAGCACCGAGCCTGTGTAACATGCTTAAATCAGGTAGACTTATGTGTGCTAGTTGGCTGCACTTTGTCATCACCCAGGTATTATCATTCCGTTTTACAAAGATAAAGGATCGTGCCGTGAATGTAAATACTATAGAGGCATCACTTTGCTGCCAGTATCAGGCTAGGTGTTTGCCCAAGTCCTTTTTGATCGCATCCGTCCTCTCTTTCTGTCTCATCGCCGTCGAGAGCAGTGGCTTCACGCCTCATAGGTCATAAGTCTACCATCGACAGGATATTCACGTTCTCACTCCTTCTACGGACCAGACGTGAATTTGGTAGACCTCTCTGGATTGCCTACGTTGACTTGAGAGCGGCTTTTGATTTAGTCAACAGGGACGCTATGTGGCTGTTGTTCCGTGGTCTAGGCATTTCCGATCACCTGATAAAACTGCTTAAGGCTTTATACATCCAAACCTTGAGCTTGGTTAGATCGAAGGGTTGATGTTCTCGGCGGTCCGAGATTGATAGCGGCGTCAGACAGGGGTTTATACTTGCGCCAGATGAGTCCTTGGCAAAGGTATGCTCGGCGCCACAGTTGGCAGGGAGGTTTCACGGACTTGGACTTTGCAGATGATGTCGCTCTGCTGGCTGAGATGCGAGATGTTCTCATACTGTCGTTGGCTATTGTGTCAGAAGAGGCAAAGTTTTTTGGTTGAAAAATCAACTAAAACAAAACAAAAATTCAGGCAATCTCTCTGGGCGATCTGCCAACCGCGTCTGTCTTTGTGCTGGATAATGACGTACAGATTGTGAATTCGTTTCCATATCTCGGCTCCCAAATACACTCGTCAGGCAGTGGTGAAGCTGAAATTTCGCGTCAAATCATTATTGTTCGCGTGTGTTTGAGGTCCCTGGATCGTGGTATATGGCACTCGAGCATTTCGTTGACGACCAAAGTTTGATTGTATAGCGCATATATCATCTCAGTACTGTTCTATGGATGCGAGGTGTGGTCAACTACTGGCGCTCATTTGAAGAGGCTAGACGCTACAGATCATTGGTGCTGGCGCAGGATCCTTCGTCTGACCTACCGCGATCGCGTCACCAACGTTGAGGTGAGGAGAAGAACACAGCAGCCCTCCGTTTCCTCACTCCTGTTCAGGCGTTGTCTAAACATCTTTAGTCACATAGCTCGTGCCAGTCCTATGGAGGATCATTACCGGGCTTTAAGAGCTGCCATAGATCCACCGCCACCGGACTTGAATCCACTCAGTGGAAAAGAAAAAGAACTTGTCCCTCATCAACTCCGCCTGGAAACTTGCTCAAGATCGCTTGAAATGGAGGCACCTTGTGAACACGGCAACGACCCGTTATGGGTTATGCCCATAATAATAAATATTGACTTGGATAGATCTTCCGGAATTTCGCCGATGTAATAAATCTCATTCAAAATTTCTGTCAATTTTTCAATACCAAATTCATCAAGACATTTAATTTCTTTAACAACTGTCTCATCTACACCTGGCACTTTATTTGATTTCATTTTGAAAAGAGCGGCACGAACTACACTAATAATTGTTGTAGCAATTTTTATTGTGTTCTATTTTATTGACTCAATTGCATAGGCTAATTTTTTTTATTTTAATCAAATTTTTTTACTCTTTCATAGTTTTCATCATATATATATACATATTAAATTATATTAAAAATAAGTTATTAGTATTTATAATGTTATTAGTATTAATTAATAATTATAAACCGTTTATATTCTAAATATATTAATTATAATTTTTTATGATATTGGTTTTATTGCCAATGCAAAGTGATTACATCAAAAGTTTTATTTAAGAGTTTCATTTCTTGGTAGTTGTTGAAAATATTGACTGAACATTTGTTCATAAAAATTCAAAATTATTTTAGTATTCGTTTAAATGCTTAAACTCGCAATTAACTTTTTTAAATCATCTTCTCACGCAGCAGATTTTAAAATTTGTTAATGGATGAAGAATGTGTTTGACATGAACATTTTTTGTTAAAATCGATTTTTCAAAATTTTTTTCATCAATTCACACTCGAAATTTGAACAAAAATTTTTCAAATACTTTCAGGAAAACTCGCAAAGGCTTGGCGACAGAAATATTGGTTAGTTTAAGCTTCTCTCTGATCTGTTTATTGCTGCTGCTCTACGTGGCTGATTTCAGGTGTAACATCGAAAGAGAATGCTGGGTCTACAATGCGCTCAGGTTTGGTTTTGTTTTTAGTATTGTGTAATTAATCAATTAAAATCCCTCTAAAAAATGTTCAGACTAAAGATTTTTTAAGTTGTTTCAAAAAGCTTGCTAAAGACCCCTTGAACGAAATGACAATTCCGTTTGCATCACCTTGATTTGTTCGCATCGACTGTTCAAGTTTTAGCAGAAGTTGGCTTATATATTCGTTACTCACCAAATACGTTGTTCACCAAATAAGTTAAACTTCAATGGAGAAAAATAGTGAAAAACACACTTTTAAGTTATTGTGATATCAGAAACATTAAGCCGGCTTTTGCTTAATTTTTGCTCAAACTTTTATATTAGCCAGCTAAAAAACGTGTCAATCAATTGTAATAATAATACAATTGACAGGTTAATTTTTTTATGTGATTTAAAAAGTAAATATGAACCATTGTCAACATAATCATCAGGCTGCAGCTACTTTCGTCTTCTCAATTGTGTTTGAAGTGAAACTATGAAGTTCTTAAATAATCATTCATGAAATTGGTCAGATATTATTTCGTGCTGGTGTCGCTGATGTGGAATGGAGTTGAGGCGCACAACATGTATCGTATGTTGGTGGTGGTCTACAACAGTCACGTCAGTCACTTCATTCTCATCTCAAACTGCATTGCTTGGGGTTGTTATTACATTTATTACCAGAAAAATTACTTTACATTGTAATGATTGAAATATATATAACTGTAACGGTTGACGTTTAGATAAACACAACTTCCTTGTGCATCAGGTATTCCTGCTGTGTTGGTAGCGATCATTTTTATAGCGGATCGAACTGCATTCAACGGATTTTACCTCCAATGTTCTTTCAGGTGAAAATTTATTCTAATAAACAGTAAAACAGCTAAAATAATTCTTGAACAAACCAGGTGTGGGTTAAAAGAAAGCACACTTTATTATGCCTGGCTGCCACCGATGTTGATCATAATCACACACAACATCATCATATTCATTATGGTCCTGTACATTCTGTGCAAAGATTTGCCAAATATGAGCAATAACGGTGAGCTTTTGTTTTGTTTTTTAAATTAATAAGGGTTGTGGTTTTATGTTGCCATTATGTAAGCCAAATTCTTTTAAAAATATCTTTTTACGGGAGATTTATAATTTCATAAGTTGTGCAAACGATTAAAAATTAATTTAAATTATTAATTTAAATTTCAAAATAAGTATTTTATTTGAAAAATATTCTTCAAGTATTTATCCATTAAAATTAAGTCTTAATTTTTTTTTTATTACAAAAAAAGTTGAGGAGAGGAAAAACACAAAGTCCCGTTTAGCAGGAGCTCTCAGCTTGTTGGTCCTGCTGGGAGTTCCATGGATTCTGAGTGCATTTGGAGCCATCAAATATGAAAAAAATGATTCCATAAAGTTCTTTCAAGGATTTATAGAAGTCTGTTGAACATTAGCATTTTTTAGCGGCGTTTTAAATTTTATTTAGAAAAAGTTGCATCCACATATTTAAAGTTCTTTTAAATTGTGGTAACGAGTCCTTTTTAACATGTCATTTGTAAAGGCGAAATATGTCAAATCGAAATTGTTTAAAAGATTGAATGATTTATAGTGCCGAAAAAATTAAACAATATTTTTATTGAAGATTTTTTTTTAAATTCACCAACGTTAATGGCGCTCAAAATATTTTTATTGATAATATATGAAATTAATTTTGAAATGGTAAAATTATAATACTCCGTAATTGTAGACGTTGTTTAAATGAGTAGAAAGTGTAAAATTTGGAAAACATTGTCTGCAGACGTTTCCTTAAAATTATTTCGCAGCCTTATATTTTTGGTGCAAATTTACAAATTGATTGTTGTTGAACTATCTGATCTTCCTCGAAAAACACCCGACACATTCATTAATTATGACATTGGGGGATTTCTTGAAAAAACATTTTGTAAATAAACGGCATAATAATCTTAAATCCTAAAATGATTAGAATTTTTAAAACATAGTTCACTTAATATTTTAAAAATCCTTTCAAGGTGGTTCTCATAATATTTATCAGCTTGCAAGGACTCTTCATATTCCTCTTCTACTGTGCATGCAACAGTTCTGTGCGCAGCGAGTGGAGTTCTTCTTTCAGTTGGTCGGATAAATCGTTCTTGTTCCAATTCATGTCCAAAAACAATGCGGTGTCTTCAACTGCAAACAGTGCAAGTCCTAATGTAGCCATTTCTCTGAAGTGATCAATTGAAGAAATGATGCGAAATCAGTCTGTGTTTGACAAGCTGGAATGAGTTTGTATGGGACTTCAATAACTACGAAACTAAGTTTGGTAATGATGCAAAGTTGATTGAATTTGAAAAAAATAAAATGATTAGCCATTTTTTCAAACGTTACAATTTTTTATTAGAAAGGCTATTTAAACAATTTTTATTCTATGTTACACTTTGTTCTAAGTTTTTTTATATTGAACATCACTAATAAACAATTAATTTAAATTTTTTTAAGAACTACATTCAGTTGTCTCAAAAACTTGCACTCTCCTTAAGCTTTTGTGAATTTGTTATGTTTTTGTGATGCATCTTTTCAATCTAAATATTATGTGAAATTAATAAAATTGAATAATTTTAAATTCACACAACTAACTGTTTCCAATGTTATGTCAAAGTGATTGAGTCGAAATAAGATAATTTAAAAAAATAACAATTTTCTAAGATGAAAGCAGTAAAACGTACAATTTTAACCGATAGAAAATATTAAGATTACATAGAAGATATTATGATTACATTAGAATACAAATGTATTTTTTGAACCAAACTGCACAAATAAGTCGCGTAATAATTTTATGTCTTTGAAGCTGATGGAACCAGACTTTGTGTTTGAAAACGTTCAATTGATCTTAGCCTTTAGTTTAGGGTTGGTCCCCTTTTAGATATGGGAAGCAATAAGGATCATTTTCGCCATATTTTGGTTTTATATTATAGAACAAGTAAAAATGCTGTTTAAGCTGGAAAGACATTTAAATGGAAAACCTGTTAAAGCTAATAGATACACTATCAATCAATCAATCTTCGTTTTGCGTCCAGAGACCCGGTTTCCCGAGGTAGGACTAGATACACTATAAAAGAGATTTCACATAACAATGGCAAATGGTGAAAGTCGAGTCAAAAACCTTTCTGAAAGCAAAAAATTTATTGAGACTAGAGTAGTTTGGGTCTTTTTGGATGTAGTCAAAGTATGTCAGATAGAAAATTATTCACAACTGTTCTAATGGGTAAAAATTTGGAAAGTTGAGAGACTGTTAAAAACGAAAAGTAGTCAAACGTGGAACAGTGGTGGATCACTGTTTTCTTTCATTGCTAGATTTGTTAAAAAAATGACCAATTGGTTAACTGATTATAAAATTATTAATGAATATAAAAAATTTATTTAATAGAAATTAATTTATAAAACACAAAGAATGACAAATATACCTGCAAGAGCAAACACAGCTAGGACAGCGATGAGAAGAAGAGTTCGGAACATCACGGAATTTTTGAAATCTCTGTTTCAACTTAGAAATGAATGTATTTATAAAAAGTATGCAACCATTTATGCATCACCACACCACTTTTCATTTAACTTTAGCAATAATTCATTCACCATGTAGACATGAAAATAAAAATTATTATTTTGTTCTCGTAGTTTTGGTGGTCCTTTGTACTAGCATGCTTACATATTCAGACGTGTGCACGCGTGTAAATTATTTTAATAATGGTCCTAAATGGTAAAGCAAAAAGTCCAAATAATTAAGCAAGGTACGTAAAATAATTAGGATATTTATTCGCGTCTCCAAACAGTTAACATAAGAATGAAAATTTGATCATAACTAAAATACAAAAACTAATTAATGAGCGACAAATAAAATAAACCTTCAACAGTTTAATGAACTTAAAATAATTATCTATTTCCTTCAAGTAACTTAGAAGACTGTTCCAAATTAGAGAAGCATTAAAATAAATTGTCTACAACTGATTAAGGTAGCTGATTCTTTAGCATTTTTTCTTTGTTTAACAAGGTAGACGTTTATCTGTATCAAACTTTTTATTTCTGGGTACATTTTCTTTTGCGAGTCTTCTGACATCTTTCATCAAATTTTTTCCAAAGAAACTCAGCTCGTTTATTTCCACATTTTATGTGTTCCATTTGATTAGAGGCGTAGCGAATACGACGTTTTGAATTTACTTACGATAATGATGTATTAATTGTGCTAGTGTTTGCAGTAGCGTTAATTTCAAGTTTTATCTTGAAAATTTAAAAGATGGAAATTTAAAGTAAATTAAACTCATGTTATTCTTATTGTTTGTTGCAGTTTTCAAGATTCCACTGATTATAATTCAATGCAAACACTTGCCTAATATATTGAAATGATTTTCTTATCCGCTGTATGTAACTGGAACCGCATATGTAATAGTGTGGATAAGAGATTTTCGATAAAAGATGTCACGCTTCTTGGAATTTTTTCACTTCCATCTTTTCACTGCCAAAAAATCTAATTTTTAAACCTTCCCATACAGATATTTTAAGTACTGGCTAACAATTTTGAATGATTTATGCAAATTTATCAATATGGAAAAATTGATAGACAAATGAAATCAACAAAATTTAATATAGTTGAAATTTTAAAAAATTGTGAACTTTAGAATAAATTTTTGAATGAATTTCAAGGTCAATATTATTCAGTTTAAATTTACGTAGTAAACAGCTTTTAAATTACCTTTAATCAAAAATAAATTTCAAACTATTGTGAAACGTAGTTATTTTAGAAGCGCTTAGTTGAGATTGAAAACATTATTGGCTTCGAATAAGGTGTCACAAGAAATATGAAAATTTCACCTATATGATTCTGTCTTCAGATATGCAGGTCTCTGTTATTTAAACCGAGAGTTTAAATTGTGATATTTCATTATCGCTCGTTCAAGTGGGTTTGAAGTTGCTAGCTGCATTCGAAACTTCTTTTGTTATCCGGTGCAGACCTCGTTTTTCCCCTAAACTAGTGCTTCATTAAATCAAATATTACTTTTCTACCATAAAATGCATATTTTGGAAAAATTTTATTTAAAAAACAAAAAAAATTATAAATGAAGCAAAAATGATAGAAAAATAATATGAAAACTTTGCTTCTCTGTTTACCATCAGTTATCAACCGTGCTTCGTTATTGCTTTAATTTATTTACCAACGCTGATCATTCACAAAACTAACAAACTTTTCATTCAATTTTTTTCATTCTGTTCATTCAAACCAATGAAATCAAAGTTTGCAAACAGGAAGAAATCGTGTTTTAATTTAATTGTGCATTTAGAAAATCAATATTGTCATGTCTTTACATAAAAGCAATCCTTCATAGCTACACATGAAAAAAATTTATACGATATATAATTTTCTATATATTTTAAAAACTATAAAAGTGGCTAAAAAATTGCTGAAATTTGGTTTGTAAGCACTGATCTGATAAGCAAAGATGAAATATTTGATTGCCTGCTCACTCATAGTGGCGTTCTTCGCGGCCAGCTATGCAGAAGTCCCATCTGCCAGCGACGTGAAGAAAATTGTTGACAAGCACAATCTCTTGAGAAAGAAGGAAGGCTCGTCTAAAATGCTTCCCATAGTATGTTAATTAATAAATTTGATCATTTGTAGCATGCTATTACAAGTTTCAAATACTATTTTCACACACATCTAAAAAATTTGATACATTGATCCTGCTAAATAACGATAGGTACTAATAAGTCTGATTGAACTGGGAAATATACTGTAAATCTTTGCGTACAACGCATCAGTATTAATGGAAGCAACATATTTTGAGAACTTAAATAAAACTCAACAAGCAGGTTTTCTTAATTTAATACGTTCTGAGTGCTAAACAATAACATTTCGAAAGTTATTGAACATTGTGGAAAAAAATAAAAAATGGTTTTTGGGTACTAAGCAATAACATTTCAAAACTTATCCAAAATTGTAAAAAAATTCCAGAAATGGAGCAGCAAGTTGGCAAACTACGCTTCGGCATGGGCTCAGAACTGTGCGTTCGAACATGGTCAACCAGCAGAAGCCCAAAATGAAGACGACATTGGGCAAAATCTTTACGCGTCATCAACCTCTAATGTTGATTATGAATCTGCAATCCAAAACTGGTATGATGAAAAACCTGACTACAGCTACGACAGTAATTCTTGTCGTAGCGGTAAAATGTGTGGACACTACACACAGGTAGGCAAATGTGTATAATTTTTATTAGCACATCAGTTGCGGATCTAGAACTTTGCGATGGGGGGATTTTAAAATTGTAATGCTATTGATTTTTTTTGTTTTCCTAATTTGTGTAATTCCCGTATTGATAGAGAAATCATTTTTGATATTCTTAAATTGGTGACCTTTCTTTTAGCTATTTCCAATTTATTTAGCGAGAATCTTCAATATTTTCCTCTCTCACGTTTTGGTGAAAACGGGGAATGCGCCCTGAATCTGCCACAGCCTCGCGTATGTTACTTTTTTTGCAAACAAAACAAATAGGTAGTTTGGGCTACCACCACTGAAGTAGGATGTGCAGTTCAGATGTGTAACAAAGGGATTGAAGGATTGCCGTGGCCAAGAGGACACATAATCGTTTGCAACTATTTGCCCCCGTGAGATGACTTGCGTTTTCAACTAAACGATTTTTTTATTCAATTAAATACCAGCCAATTTTAGTCAAAAGTGTATAATCAAATTTTTTTTAAATTTTCAGAGGGAACTGGGAAGGTGAGAAACCCTACTAGCTGCGTACGATGCTGACAGCCTGCACAACATCCTGCAACAGAAACTTATATTTGATACTAAATTTATCACCGAAAGTTTTTAACTAACTTCAAATTAACTTTAGACAATATTATTTTCATATGCATTAAAATTTTGATTTTAAAAATAAAATCCTAATATTAAACTACAATGCTTTAATTTATCAATGAGGAATTATTAAACCCTTTAAAGATTTGGACCATATGGACATGTGACCAAAATTTTTTCGTGAATAATTAGGCTCGATATATATACCTATATGGCTTGTTCTTGTGAGTTTTTAATATTTCCTAAATGATAACAAATTTAATTTCATTGCGAAAGCGAAAAATCAAACCGAGCGAATAAAACTTAATTAGGGTGTTCGGAAACATCAAACATTAAAATCATAACATGCAAAAATTTAAAATTACCAAAAACGCTTAAATGAAATACAAATGCTATCAAAGTTAAAAATACACGCCAACACAGACTACGTCGCACAACATTTTAAATACTAACTATTATAATCAATCCAATTCAGATGTTAGGAACCGATAAAATGGTAATCTAAAGAAAATTACCATCATGAGTCTTCATAAAACCACAAATTTTGGCTATGATCTGATTTTATACGTGGAATAATATATATAGGAAATTTCTATATGTGTAGAATAAATAATTTATTCACTCACGTTTGTTGTCATTTTTTTCGTTCTTTGCACTTTTTATTAACAAGCAGTCTGGCGAGTTGAGTTTGAGTTTCGTTACATTTTTGAAGCTCTCATTCTATCAGGCTCGATATAATGAAGCTTGGAAACCGAATTTCAAAATTTATTATTCAAATACAACTTCAACTAATTTTAAACATTCAAAACAATCAGTATTTTCTCTAAAGCGTAACATTGTTGAAATTTCAGACCACAAATTAGATTTAACAATAGGATTTTCATTCAAAACCATTTTAATCTCATTTTCGGCAAACGATGTGGTTTCTTTATTTTCTTTATACCATGCCTTATCCAGCTCCAGATCTTCAGTTACTTGCAACTGTTTCTTGTTCAAAACTTTGAGGTACTTTTCAATGAACTTCAAAGCTGATTCAACCAATTGAATTTGCATCAATTTTTTTCATCTGCTCTTCCAGATCTGTCAGCGTTGTTTTAGGCCCAAAAGTTGCCAAAATTTGCTCGCTCAAAGACATCAAATCTTTTTGTTAAATTTCATCAAAGCTTTCAAACAATTTTTTCATCAGATCCTGTTCTTGGAGATTTATTTACACCTCCAAGCTCAGAGCTGCGGCAGAATCAATCACTGTAAGTAGATATTTAAATTATAATTGGATTATAATGCAAAGTCGCTATTACCTTATTATTTTATTATATTTTACTGAAACTTTTAAAGCATGGATATTTTAAAACTTTTAACAATACTAAACAATAGAAGATATAAAAAAGTTAGGGTGATGAATATATTTTCAATTAGACGAATCACAATTTTTTTTTCATCTGCATAATAATAACGAAAGTGAAAATTTATAAGTCACGAATTTTAAAAAATGTTGATGAATTATAAAAGTAAAGTTACGAGGTCTGCTCCACAATGACTTGGTTTTGCCTCTACGACATAGTACTAATAGAATAAAATATTAAAAACTAATAATAGTTTTTCATGGCAATTACACTGATGGTATTTAATAATATTTCAAAATTTATCAAAAGATAAAAATTAATTTCATTGATATTTTTATAATTAACTTGAACCTTGTCTGGACATCGTTCTAGAGAAATTATTTTCGTTCAATCGAAGCAGTTTTACAAGTAAAACTCTAAGTGACACAAAAAATTCGTTCTATAGAGGTTTTCGTTGTGTAGAAGTTTATTATAAGGAAGTCCGACTGTATATTAAACAAAATTTTGCGGGAAAATGGACCTCGGTTAATAGAGCTGCTGTCGGACCAAAAATGCACTCGTACAGAAGATACAAATGTTTTATTTCATTGTTATTTAAATTGTAAAATGGTTTGTGAGATGCATCTGAATAGAAGTAACTAGTAAGTTATTAAATTTTACATTTAAAATGAATTAAATTAATTTAAATGTTACATTATACTCAAACTGAGTAGTTTTCGCATACTGAATGTCAGTTAAATGAAGTGACAAAAATGTTTTGCGAGGTTAATGCAGCAGTATTATACCGTGTAACCAATTTTAATTAAGTTACTAAATGTAGGTAAAACGAAAATCAGCGAATTCAACATTCGTTTAACCCTAATACAGTGATACTCCACTGCAACGACCTTCCCATTTGCGACCGTTTTGCTTCACTCTATAAATGCTTTTTCCACATTTAAGAGCTGTTTTTTATGACATTTTCAAAGTCGTTAATAGGGAATAACACTGTTGCAAAAACAAAACTCCACTTAGGTAAACAACAAATCAAGATGAGCATAAAGCATGCACATATTCGTAACGTAACGCAAACATATTCAACATGATTCTATCGTTTTTTCGACATCAAGGTTTTTAAAGGATGTGTTTCACAAAAAGTTAAATAAATAAGTAATGAAATGTCTGGAAATGTATATCATTCAGCTAAAAAGGTAATTCATTAATAAAAGTTTCATTTAACTTCTATCATTACAGAAAAGCCAATGTTTTGTAAACAATTTCATTTCCGTTCCTCTTCGACAGAATCTGAGGCAACTTTTGAAAGTTTCCAGAACAATTGTTGATCCAAATGACCTCGCTATCATCATTATGGCTACCATCGACTTCATAACTGACCTTGCTACCGATATCTGGACGACAGTTAACATGGACAAGAGGAGATTGATTGCAAAGGAATCCATGCTCCTTCAAACTTCTATTCATCCAAATCTCACTCTCATTATAATCAGTATCACAGTCTTCGGATGAGTCATCATTATGCACCTCAGTTCTCTTCACCATGTAGAAACTGGGCTGAGTGTTGAAGTCTTCCATCCATTGGGGCTCGGTTGAATCACTTGCCGTTGAAATGGAACAACTGACGTTGCATCTTCGCAGATTTCCTCCGTTCACATTCGAAGGCATTTGAGGAGCAGGAAGTTTGTTCGTGCCAGTCTGAATGTGGCTCATTAAAGAGTCCTGTCTGTCAGGTCCAAAACTTTGGCTTGCATTGATGCTACAGAAGTTCGCAGCGAGTTCTTCGTATTTCATGGAGCTGTTTAATACACTCCCAGCAGTTGCACGGATGGAAATGGTATCAGCTGATTTTGTTTTGTACAGTGAACCGTTGATGGCTGTTGATGCAGTGGATTCACGTCTGTCGTATACACAGCGACACGGGTTGAACAACTTGCCGACGGGTTTTGTGCGTGTGAGGTTCGCGTGCATCTTCTTGTTGCTCTCGTGTGAAGTATTTTCGTTACTCTGCTTCACTGAACATTTATTCTTTTTTGAACTTCTGCTGCTTCTCTTGTTTATCTGTTTTGACGTTTGTGATGGTTCTCGAAGGCTCTTAAAGCGGGAAAACAGTTTCAAAATGCAGTTTGACTTTTCTTGTTTTCCTGTGTAATAATAAAATATTATTTTAATTTAGTATTGAACACCTTTAAATATTTAACCAAAACAAACAATGAAAATTAAATGTTCAACCATAAAAAACAGCGATCATTATCTCACCTGTGTTCATGTTTGAACGGCTTAATTTTGAACTGAACAAAACGATATACAGAGTTTATCAGAGTGGTTCAAATTTTATTTCAATAAAACCGGATGCGTTAGTTTAAAATAGTTTGAAATTGATTTTCACTTCTCAACTATCTTTTCGTTCACCAGTTGACAGCCCTACTCAGCTTTATATATGCGTCGATGTATTAACCAATCAAGGAATACATCGAGTTTTGAACACAGAGCTGATTACTTACAATAAAAAGTTAACATCAAAGCATCAGCAACCACGCCATACATGGTATAATCGATGTTAAAACATTTCACTAAACTGTTTTGTAATACAAATCTTCAATCGCGTTGAAATTTTAAGTATTCATCATCAAGCTCCTCGTGTATCAGGTTTCCAGTAAATAAATTATGAAGTAAAAATACATAGGTTAAGTCTTTTAATTTCTTTAAAAAAAAGACTTCACATATTTTCTCTGAAAGCAAAAAAATATTTTGTTTTTATTATACATGAATTCAAATGTATTCAAAATAATTTTAAATATCAAACGCAAGTATTCAGTAAATAGACACATAAGGGAGAAAAGTGAACAAAAAAATTATCAACCAATAAATTAAAATGATCTTTAAAAAAAAGCTTAATTGGCCCGCCAAGCCAATTAAAGCACTTTAAACTTAATCGATTATTGTTAAAGTGATTTACTACAATCTGATCAGGATCTTAGCTGCCAGCTAAGAAATTAATAAGATTCTTGATTCCTAAAATGCAAAGACTTCACATGAATACTGTAAATGTAAAAAGTATTCGTTGTTATGATAACTGTAGAATCCAGAAAAAATAAGCTTATAGACAATCGCACGGGACATGTTTTAAAAACTTGTTGATCAGTCCTCTTCGCTTCAGCATCAGCAATATAATAATCAACTAGTACATCTTTATTACCCGTAACTATTTACGCACTCTTAATTGAATAAGGTGAATTGTACTGTAAATCACATGTGCTCCTTGAAAGAATGCTTTTATTCACACTGGTACATGATTGAAAGAATTGAGAATTATGTGAAAAGTAGATCAACTTCGGGTGCATCCAGTTCTTTGAACAGCAAGAAAGATGAAGACACAGAGGAAGATTGTGGCATCTGTTTAGAAGCCATCACAGAATACTTCACTTATGTAGTTGTTTGTTGCCACATGTTCTGCAAGGAGTGCGTCGATCGTTGGATGCTGAGACATTCAACTTGCCCACTCTACAGAATTCCAATAGGCGAAAGATTTGGAATTGAAAAATACTAATGCCTATTTATTGTTAAGCCATTTAATCAAGCTAGGTACAGTCCTTCAGTCATTGAACAATACCTGAAGATCATGAAGAGTTGCCGCATGCGTGTATCCGAAATGTTTCCAGTGCACAAATTAGACGATGCCATGGCCCAAATTTATGAGCACGTATATAAACAATAATCTCCAGTTGTGTGAAGAATTTTCAATGATAACTATAAGTTGCGAACTTTTATTTTTTTTTAATTCAATTTTTCTTGCTTAAATGAAATTATTATTGATAAAATTTCTAAAACTCAACCAAACTTACCAGATAAAAAAAATTTTTGTTACATAAAGTAAATGAACTTAAATTACTAAATTAAATGAAATTATTATTGATAAAATTTCTAAAACTCAACCAAACTTACCAGATAAAAAAATTTTTGTTACATAAAATATATGAACTTAAATTATTATGTGTTAAAAATGATTGAGAAACATTGTGAAAGCAAAGATATCAAGTTCATAATGTGTTGGCCTACGAAGAAAAACATTAACAACAACGATCATCCAAGGACATATATTTTAGTATAGGTACATGTTTTGACCTTTCAAAGTTTTTGATTGTATTGATCATTCAATTCTCTCAACAAAAAAACTTGAATAGTATTGTTTTAGAAAAACTCAACTAAAATGGTTCTACAGTTATTCAAAAAATAGAGAACAAATTGTTTGTTGGCAAAATTTAATTTTATCGCCGCTACAACTCAACATTGGAGTACCACAAGGTAGCATACCGTTTTTTTTACTTTTTGTTATCTAATTTAATGCTCTCCTAACGGCTACAACTTTTTTGACTAACTTTTTAACTTTGACGAACCCAACGTTTCAGTAAGGGCAATGATATTAAACATCAGAATAATGAAACAAACAAAGATATACAACAAATCGTCTCGTGGTTCAATTGTAACAAGCTTATTCTGAACAAAAATTCGTGACGGACGAAAGCTGCACTGGTAAGGATCCGTTTCAAAATTTCTTATTTCATATTAGTTAATAATTTTCAAATTTTATTGAATTAAGTAATTTCAATTTAAACTTGGCATGTAATGTTTATTACTTGATACTCAAACTGAGTAGTTTTTACAAATGCATCGGAATAAAATTGTGTAGACAATTTAAACGCCATTTTGATTGTATGTAGATAAGAACAGAACATAGATAACACAACGCTATTTTACAATAATGATAACTCAACTCATATTACTCAGCAAGTAAACAATCGACTACTTAAAGTCATTAAAACTCTAACAATAACCAGTAAAAAAAGCAAAGAAAGTTTTGTTTAGACCGAGTTGTAGTTTGAATTTGTGAAAGGCGAGTGATGTCTTATATAACAACTGATCGATGAAACACACATATGTGAAACATGTGTGTATGCAACATATTATAAGTGTATATCCCATATACATATTACATGCATACATATTCAACATGGGTGATATTGTTTCAAAACCAATAACGTTTTTTATTTAGGCGCTTCACAAAAAATCAAATAAATAATGAAGTCACAGAAAATATGTCAACGTTTGGTTAATAAAAATTTCATTTAACTATTCTCGTTACAGGAAAGCCAATGTTTTGTAAACAATTTCGTTTCCGTTCCTCTCTGACAAAATCTGATGCATCTTTTGAAAGTTTCCTGAACAATCGTTGATCCAAATGACCTCGCTATCATCATTATGGCTACCATCGACTTCATAACTGACCATGCTGCCGATATCAGGACGACAGTTAACATGGATAAGAGGAGATTGATTGCAATGGAATCCATGCTCCTTCAAACTTCTATTCATCCAAATCTCACTCTCATTATAATCAGCATCACAATCTTCGGACGAGTCATCATTATGAACCTCAGTTCTCTTCACCATGTAGGAGCTGGGCTGAGTGTTAAAGTCTTCCATCCATTGGGGCTCGGTTGAATCACTTGCCGTTGAAATGGAACATCTGACGTTGCATCTTCGCAGATTTTCTCCGTTCACATTCGAAGGCATTTGAGGACCAGGAAGTTTGTTTGTGCCAGTCTGAATGTGGCTCATTAAAGAGTCCTGTCTGTCAGGTCTAAAACTTTGGCTTGCATTGATGCTACAGAAGTTCGCAGCGAGTTCTTCGTATTTCATGGAGCTGTTTAATACACTCCCAGCAGTTGCACGGATGGAAATGGTATCAGCTGATTTTGTTTTGTACAGTGAACCGTTGATGGCTGTTGATGCAGTGGATTCACGTCTGTCGTATAAACAGCGACACGGGTTGAACAACTCACCGACGGGTTTTGTGCGTGTGAGGTTCGCGTGCATCTTCTTGTTGCTCTCGTGTGAAGTATCTTCGTTACTCTGCGTCACTGAACATTTAATCTTTTTTGAACTTTTACCGCCTCTCTTGTTTATCTGTTTTGACGTTTGGGATGGTTCTCGATGTCTTTTAAAGCGGGAAAACAGTTTCAAAATGCATTTTGACTTTTTTTGTTCTTCTGTATAATAATATTTCATTTCAGTATTGAGAAATTTCAAATTTATTTTAAAAACAAATATTGAATGTTTAACAATACAAAATAATAATCAAAATCTCACCTGCGTTCATATTTGAAATTACTCCCTTATTAGTTGAACTGAACGATATACTGAGTTTATCAAGCTGATTCAAAATTTATTTCGATATAAACAGACGTCTTTTTAAAAATAATTCGTGTGTGATTATCGCCACTCAACTATTCATACAAAAATTTATTTTGAATTTTAATTTTGACTGTACTACTCAGCCTTACTTATATATATGTCGATGGCTGGACCAATCAAGGTATATATCGAATTTTGAACACAAAGCTGTTACTTACAATAAAAATGTTAGCCTCAAAGGAACAGCAACCACACCATACAAAGGAATTACCGATATTAATCCATTCAAATAAATTCTTTGTCGATGCTGATTAAAAGCTGCGTTGAAACTTCAAGTATTCACCTCGAGCTGCTCGTATATCAGATCTTCAGTATTCATTCTCAATACTTCGTTAATTCTCATTTTATTAGATGATGTCAATTTACTTTTTTTTCATGCTCATGCTAATTATCCACTTTGCAAGGAATGGTTTACAGAATTTAAATTAGCACTTAATATGAGACTAGCAGGAATTTTTACTATTCTGAAGGATAAAGGACTGTCCAATAAGGATATCACGGGGGTCAAAAAATTTGAGACCCTGTGTGCCAATGGAAGGAGTGATGAAGTCCTATGTGAGATTTTGTTTTGTTCTTCACGTTTCAATAATAAAAATTTTTTTAACATTTTTTACGAACAAAAATTTGTAAAATTTTATGTTTGATCCCAGCTTTGTTTCATTGAAGCGCTTTTCTTTATTTATGAATTTATGAACATGTCTATTTACCTAAACTTTACGCTATTAGATAAAATGATTTGAATTTTCAATCATTATTTGCGAAATGGATAATTTGCGTAACACATTTCAAATGGTGAATTTTAGAAAGAGAACTGTAGAAAAGTTAACTATGCAACACACGTACAGTACAGTACATGTGCATGTGATTATTAAACGATAGAGAGACAATATGTGCCAGGCTTAATCATGTAAATAATGTCAGATGAAGACATTTACACGTAAAATGTAAATGGAGCTGTCAAAAATGTTTAAAATGCTTCTTACTTGTAGTATGGCAAGTACAAATATGTAAGCAACTACAACTTTAAAGAACTGGCACAAGTGCATAAAATTCATTCTCGGATAAAATATATAATACAATTAGTCTTACAGTTACATATTCTGTTGGAATGTAACTTCAAGCAATTTTCGTTGGCCCGGCTTTTCATTAAAACAATGTTGATTTATTTTGAACGGCTGACAATACAATAGATAATAATAATACCAGAAAAATATAAATATGTGGCACTTAATATATTCATCAGTTTGAACGGTTAAACTTTCTTAAACATGCACATAAACAAAAATGTGACTCACATCCCCTTTTTTGATAACAAAACTATTGAAACACTAGACACGCAACTGAATACACATTCAGCAAATTGTTCGACTATTGAAATTTTATGAAAGCATGCAGACGGTTGACACTCAATGATAATTTCAATGGTCAAATAGACATATTAATAACTATAGTCAATCAAACATATATTTGAAGTTTGAGCAGTTTTTTTTTAAATTTTTTTTACATTGGCGAAATAATCTTCAAAGTTGTGTGTGCATGCGTCTGTGCGTGTGTGTTTGTTTGTTGATGTACGTATGGTTGGATAAAGATGATATTTTCAAATTTTAATATTTAATTATTCTGAATTTTACAAAAATTAGATATGCAAAATTTCAACTTTTGAAGTCCTACATAAATGTTATATTAAGATTAAAATTTTACTAATTTCAAGCACTACATCATCCAATAATTCAAATAATTCTCAATAGCCGTTGAAGTGCTGAATTTTGATGAGGTTGATTCATTGGATGGAGAGGAGATAGTGTAATGGTTAAAGCGCCTGTCTCTTCTGCTGCAGTGACCAGATTCCAATGCAAAACGATCCCATTCTATTCCCTTGCAATTCAATTTCTGTGTTTACGTGCGCTGTTTGGGATGTTGGTACTTCTGTGAGCAATAATATATTATGTAATGATGTTATTAAAGATCATATTTGTATGCTGGAGCACGTTGGCGTTTCTATGCTAAATTTTATTTGCTCGTTTTTTTGAGTTCATCTGCTAAAAGTTATTCAACATAGCTTTCAGGTTTAGATTTTTCTTTTGGGAAATTATTCTATGTTTTGTTATAAAAATTTAAAAATTATTTTGGAGAGATGATTTATTACTAGATACCCAGTCGCACAGATTGACGTACTTTCTCTCCCTCTCTCTCCTTCTCTCTCTCTCTCTCTCTCTCTCAACATACCACAACAATTCTCGCAATTGAAATTCTTTCATAACGTTATTTAAACATTAAACGCGAATTTATATTTAAGATTAGGTTGAACAAATTGAATGAAACGGAAACTTATTAAAACTAAAATTAAATAAAATTAAGAAATTAAATTAAAAAAAAGTTTTAATTGAATTAAATTATAAATTTATAGAATAAAATAAATAAGCTTCCAAATCAAACGATCGCATAAAATGATGAAAATTATATTATCAGTGGTTATTGTGGTAGCGGCATTGTTGACGAGGTGGCAAGTGGAGGCCGTAAGGTGCTTCAAATGCGATTCCGATTCAAATCCAAGTTGTGGTCTGCCATTTAACAAAGAGTATGTTGACACGTGCACCGGGAAGTTTTGTTGGAAGGAAGAAAATTGGAATGGAGGTTGGCTTTGGAAAAATAGTGTTTCTTATCACTATTTAAAGAATACATTAAAATTATTCGAAAACAAATTCAATAAAAATTTGAATAACTGGGTGATTTTGTGTAAAAATGTCAATGAAACTTCTGTAATAGGTTTCATCTAATTATTATCTTATAGCCAGTTTTTACGACTGTTTTAATTCAGTATTCAAACATCTTTACATCTATAAAGACATATTCTTATTAAAACCAAATAAAATAAATGTTGAAAAAATTTCCAAGGAGTCCTTCCACTACCTCCCAACATGAAAGTGACCGCCACTCGGACTTGCTTAAACGATTCGAAATCCAGTTCTTGGATAAATTACGGAGATTTCAGCATCTACGCCGATACCTGTGACGAAGATTTCTGCAATGGACCGATCATGACACTTTCCGAAAGTAACTAACTCCTACGGAGCTTTCAACATTGATACAAATGTTTCTTCATTGATAGCAGTTTTATAAACCAGGGATATTATTTTATTAGTTAATTTTTCATGTGCCGAAGCAATCTGAAATTAGTTTTTACTTAATGTTGCACTTTAAGGGGCGTGATGGCTCAATGGTTAAAGGCGCCTGGTCTTGCTATTGCAATGACTGGGTTCGAATACAAAAAGACTCCCATCTATCATATGCAATGTGTATGATGCGTGGTTTTCACGCGTATTCATATACGCTGCGTGTGTTTATCGTTGAAACCTCAGAAGCAAGCGCAAAAGAGATAGTAACCTTTAACCTTTTAACCTTTAAGATACATGAAACTCATAAAATTGAATTTTCTAAAATATTTGCTTGCTTGTGACAAACCACTTTGAATTTATTCCACCAATCCTCCAACATCACCAGATCCCAAGCACAATAAAAGCATGATAGATTGCTACTACTGCAGTGGGAAGGACTGCAACGAACCAGTGAACAGCATGAAACAGTGTAGGGGATATTCTTGCTACGTCGAAGTTTCACTCAGTCAAGGTTCCAATCTGTTTTTAATAAATGCATTGTCAATGTCCTTATTATTTCAGTGATGTGTTAAAAATGTCTGGTCTTGTGTTGTAATTACCTGGTGTGAGTGCAATAAGAGGGAATGGTTTTTAATTTTTCAAGTTTTCATCAATAAGTTATGAACACCATATTTTTATTAGAATATAAAATTATAAAACTGATTACTAACTTGTTTTTATTTTGCTATTCTCAGTGACAATGAGAACATGTTTGTCCGCATTCAGTGAAGCTTCAGCTGAAAAAGTTTCAATAAATGGCATAAAAATTTCGGTGCTGACATGCAACGAAAACCTCTGCAACGCTGAGAAACCAGTCGAGGTTCAGACACGTCTGCAAACACTCTTCAGACGCATGTTTTCAACTGATTAACCAAAAATTTAAAAGATTTTTTTAAATAAAAATTCACAAATAAATACTTGGAATATATTTTGTTATCTTGTATTTAATTTACATCGTTCGGGTGAACGTCTTATTAAGAAGTAATAATTTGAGAATTTTTTAGTTATTTGTTGTTGTTGTCAGTGTAACTTCCTCCTTTTACAAAAAGAAATGTTTAGCACACAACGTTAAATTTAACTTTGACTAGGGAATTGTATATTGAACAGAATAAATAATAACTTGCAAAATATTGACAGCCAATTTCTGTTTTCGCCAGTCTGCTTCATTCCTGCTTGTTGGGTGCATATTTCTGGATTGGTTGATGTTTTGACTCGTAAGCATTCGTAAAAAGGGACTTTTTAAAATTTCGGTTATCTTAGAAGAAGCTAACGTGAATTTAAAAAATTACGAATAAACAAATGAACTGATTTTAAATTGATATGAAGATTTTGGAAAAATGTTAATCTGAAATTATGTGACGAAATTTCAAACAAAATTTCGAACAAATGATGAAGCATATTATTGGGTTAATTTAAAGACACTCTTCTGATAAATTTACACTATCTCAAAGATTTCTAACAAAAATTCAAATGTTGGTCGTATCAGATAAGAGTAGAATAAAATCAAGGTGTGAACAGTAGCAATCCGTTTTATCTCGTAACTGCACGTGACTAGGACACAGCCTGGGAAGTTTTGGATGCAGAGTCAAACTTTAAGAAGCAAAAAATAGCAAGTTCTTCACATAAATTTGAAATCTCTTCATTCAAAAATTAATAAATAATATAATCGAATACAAAATATCATGTGATACTGATTTTTAAAATTTGATATATTAAAATCTCTTTTGTTTGATCATTCGAGCGTTTGATTTAATTATTCTAGAAAATAGACTGAGTAGCAAAAACATGAATTTTAAAACAGCAGAAATGAGAAACATTCATTTCGAAGGTAACGTACGTGCGTTGTTCACTTTCAGCAACAAATCGTGCCCTGTGCTCGTTTTCACTTATTCACCAGTGAGTGACAATCAACAAAACAGCGCTTAAAAATTTATAAAACTTATAAATTGTGCACATTAAATTTTTTCAATTCGTATTTCACTTTGTCTCATCCGTTGATTCATCGGAAAATAATAAAAGTCTATAAAATTGATCCTCTTTGTTTGCAGTTGGAACGTGCTTAAGTGTGATTAAAACGAAACGTTTGCATAAATACAGAAACTTATCTTCATGTTTACACTGTTTATTTTCTCATATACACAGCAAATAATTCTTTTACTATATATAATAGTAGAAAGTTCATAACATCATGGAAGTTAGTTTGGTGCGTAAAGACTGACGTCATAAGCGATGATGAATGGATATTTGACTTCATGTTTCCTCGTTGCCCAGTTGTTAGTGGTGTGTCAAATTTTAAAAAGTTTTTTTTTGAAAAAAACAGGGCATGGCAAAAGAAGCTTTTTGATGTCCTGTTTCCATTGGTGTCTTTCAATTTTGAATGGATGCACTTTAAGCTTGGTAAATTTTGAGTGAAAGTTTTGCAAACATACTACATTATTTACGGGAGAGCGGGTAACATGACTTTAAGTTGAATGTACCCCCATTGTTAGTTATGTTATAAATCATGAAAAATTCATAAAACAGCATTTGTCAAGCTGTTTACTTTTTGATGGAAGAAGGGATGACACCAAGGTGATGCTTAACGTTGTTGGTTCTTCCAAGAAATTTACAGGTATGGTAAAGGAGGAGCACTATTCAATATGCAGTGAACCAGGAGGAAAATATTTGTGGCATTTTGTTCCTGGGAAAGCTACTGAGTCCAAGAAACCAGCGGAGATAATTGCAGATAACATTGTTGAGTGGCTGAAAGAGAAAAATATTGATGATAAGCTTCTTGCTATTGGTTGTGACAGTACCAATACAAACACTGGCAGACATGGTGGTGTGATGCAGTGGATTGAAAAAAAGCTTGGCAGAAATCTTGTTTGGTTGGTATGCAATCTTCACACAAATGAATTACCACTGAGACATCTTATTCAAGAATTGGATGGTCAAACACTGAGCAAGGATACATGATTGTTAATGCTATCAGATCTGGTGTTGTGCCTGACAGGCTTGCGAACTTACAGATTGGACCTGTCTGTCACTCAAGATGGTTGACTACAGCTCTGTTGCAGGTTTCCAATCATGGTCTGAAAGATATGCCACTTAGAAATTTGAAAATGATTGTCGAATTTATAGTCGGAGTTTATATGCCTAATTGGTTTAACATAAAATTAAAGCATAGTTGGATTGATGGTCCGAGACATGTTTTTTTTCAGCTTGAGCTTTTGAGAAGCCAAAACAAAGAGGTGATGCAGATAGTGATGCCTGTGGTAAGAAGATCAGCCTGGTATGCATATTCTGAAGCTGTTATCCAGACACTGATTTGTAGTGACAAGGAGGAAGAAAGAAAAGTTGGAATTGGAAAGATTCTTGAGATCAGAGGAAATGCAGATGAGAATGTTCAGATGGGGGATATGAGTTTAAGACAAAGGGTAACATCAGATATCAATCCTGATGCCAGCAGCCTACTTGAATTCATTCATTGGGATTCTGAAATGTATGAATCTCCTCTAATTTGTAGCTTAATAACGGCTCAAGTCAAACAAATTTTGCACACTCCAATGATAGTCCCAGACTAGCCCTCACACATTCAAAGTATTGAGAAATGTGTCAAGATGGTTACAGAGGCAAGTGAACATGTCTACAGTCAGGAAAGAAGGGTTGGATATATTAGATCAGAGATCGTCAGCAGACAACTAATGAGTAGAAATGCGAGCAAGAAGGACATGTACAACCTCGTAAAGTTTGGAAATAATTGACACTTGCCGTAAGCTGTGAAACTGTCTACTTTGTAATTGACATAACATTGATTAGACATTATATATAATGCTAATACTATTTCAGTATTTAATCAAAATATAAAATTTGTCGTTGCTTAAAATTAGTTTTCTTTTTTCAATGATTTTTACAATTAATTCCTAAATTACGAAAATAAACATTTTAGCGGAAATTTCAACATAAAATTTACTAAGCTTAAAATTTTCAAATCTGAAATCTGAAGGTTAATTTGGATTCAGCATTCAAAAATGTATCTTTTTGTAACCCTTGGTTTTTAAAAATTTAAAAAATCAATTTCCGATATAAAATTGACACACCCTAGTGGTCAGCCAGGCGGGACTTCCATCTGCCGGCGACATTAAAACAATTGTGGACAGGGACAATATACTTAGAGCAAAAGAAAAATCGCCCAAGATGCTCCCTATGGTATGTATGTATTAACTATTTTTATTTCAATTTGAATCACTTAATTGGCAGCCATCTATTTTATGTTACAAAGAGAAATCTTTCACTGTTTAAAAACTGAGTTTAACAAACTATTTCAATTCAGTTTTTAATTCATAGAAACATAATTGTTATTAAACATTATAAATAAAAAAATATAAATTTTCAGTTAAATCCCCAGTAGATGGCAGATATTTTATTAAGTTGAAAAATTAAGTTGAGTCTATAACATTAATCACCGAAACTTTAAAATGAAAAATTCATCATTGTCATGTATTGAAAATTCAATATTCAAGCCCTAAAACTTGAAAACCTTTAAAAACTATGATTAAAGATTTTGAAAATATTTAGACTTTGTGAAAAGTTATTGGAATAGAAACAAAAATAATAAAATTTTATTTTTAATATTTTATTTTATTATTTCAAAAACCTCTCAAAAGAAATGGAGCGACAAACTGGCCAGCTACGCAGCTGCATGGGCCAAGAAATGCACATCCCAACACGGTCAACCAGAAGAAGCAAAAAATGATGGGTTCATCGGACAAAATATTTATTTATCAACGGCCGGCACTCCCAATTACAAGAATGCAACCCAAAGCTGGTACGAAGAAAAAGCTGACTACAACTACAACAGTAACTCTTGCGAGCCAGACAGAAAGTGCGGACACTACACACAGGTAGAAGAAATTTCTTTGTAATATTTAGGTACACACAAGAAGAAATTTCTAATACATTATTTTGTCCACCAAATGAAAACCAACAGGTAGTTTGGGCGAGGACAACAGATGTAGGCTGTGCGGCCGAGGTCTGCAGCGGTGGGATACAGGGTGGCACGTTTACAAGTGGATACATCATCGTTTGCAACTATTTGCCGCCGTGAGTGATTTTTCACAAACATTAATTTGATCTAAAATTTAATCAATTGATAAATTTTTGCTGTTCTAAGTGAAAGTTTTGTAATTTAGTTACTTTTTAAAAATTCGACAGAGGAAACTGGATCGGTGAAAAACCTTACTAGGACTGCTGCATCGACTAGCAGACCCATGTTTGTTTGATCCATGAAGACTTTCATTCACAATCTTCTTATAGAAGCAGAACATGCCATGCGTAACAGATTCAATATAGATTCAATTTTTTCCATCTTTGAATGAATTGTACTTTGAAAATCATTTTATAATATAATATTTAAAATCCTATTTTTTAGGGTTCATACATTCAACAGAAAAAGTTGTACAAAAAATAATTGAAGGCATTACAATAAAAATCAAAATTGTAAATACCAAAAAATATAGTTTGTTTAAATTCACAACAATGAGTGCAATTCAATTAATACGCAGAGAATGTGGTAAACAGTTGCACATTTGTAAATTTTAAATTAAGTTCAAACAAATAATTTTGTAATATGCTTATTAGGAAAATTATCTTGGAATTGTTTCAATCAAAAATAAAAGAAATAAGCAAAGTAGGCCTATTACAAGAATTAACTTTTCAGTTTTAATGATTTAATCTTGGTTTTTCAGTCCGTTCAGATTCCGGATTCTATGAGCACCTTATTCGCAAGAAAATCATCCTATGTTAAAAAATGTTAACCTTTTTCTTCATATTTCTTTTCTAAAAAGTGAAAAATGTTTTCTATTATGAAAAATTGATTGTATGCATATTAATTACATATAGATGCAAAACAATGGACTATGATCGCTTTTCAGTTTCAGTGATTCTACTGTGTGATGTGATAAAAATAGTTATTAAAATCTAAGAATTTAAAACTAGTTTTTATTAGTTAATGTTAACAAAATAATTACTTTGTTTTTGCAGGTATTATAATATGGAAACAAGCGCAAAAAAGAGAGAGTAACTTTTTTAACCTATAACTTCATTATCAAGATGTCTCACAATGCTTACACAAAGAGAAGCCATCAAATCGCACTTGCAATCAACACGCAACTCCAATAACACGCCAAATTCTTGACAACAACACAAAAATAGTTTATCAAAAAAAACATCATCACAATACACCTAAAAACTGCAAAAGCTCACCTAATAAATATCAATAACCTCCAAATAAACATACAACAAAGAATGATATCATTGCCAACTCGATGCCTTACTAACTTCCATAACAATAAAGAACAAAGTAATGACTGTATCAAAAAAGAATGCGATATCAACTAATAAACTTTGCTAAAGAACTTTACTTTGTTGATCCCTTGGATATGAGCGATAAATATTCACTTTGAACAAACAAGGAATCACCAAAGTAGAGTAAACACAGTATATATACAGGTTTGAGCATCTGGCTACATAGACAAAGTATCAATTCGATCACCGAAGATGGTATAGAAATACCAAAAAATATTTTTTGTTCTGTCATGCAAAAAATAAACAAAACTTTTCGTTTTGAACTCAAGAAACTTGCGAATGATTTTCGATCAACCGTTAAAAAATCGAAAAGTTACACAGGAAGTTATCTAACGCCGAACATGCTGTGATTCACATCAATAATTGCATTTCTGGCAGTCTTATTCTAATATTTATATATACAAAGCGTATATGGTACTTTCAAAAAGCGATGTGTGCAGATACGAATGTTTTGGTAAAGTGGACCTATTTTGCTATTAGCCGCATATGCAATTTGCCTCATTATGTGTTCTGTGGGCCATGTGAGGCCCATTCAATATAGGTAAAGTCCAGACTTCAAAACGCATGAGAAGCATCAAGAGTTTTAGAATCAGGTAAGATATTAGTAGAAATAATAATAGAACGTTTAGATTTATTTAAACATAATATCTTAAAAAGAAAAATATGTTTATCTTAAAAGCCACATCAAGAAATAATAGAGAGATGTACAACGTGTAGAAATATTTAAATAGTAGTGCCGGTTTTTCAGATCAACAACGAGAAAAAAATCCATTTGTCAATTTCAATTATGACATAAACTCATAAGACGAATAGTCAAGTCTTATTTTTTAAAATATTGGTAAAGACAAAAGGGAAAATTTAGTTACAAAAATAATAAAACAAGACATATTGACGAAACTATTTATTATGCGACATATATTTCCAGTTGAATTTATTTTTTTGCTTTTAGTTATTTTTGCATGTTTTAACAAGATTTAACCAAACAAGTGAACATGATCTTCAATGCCCCATAAATATATTTTATTTCAAACATTTAATTAGTAAAATCATAGCGAGTAATAAAATATAACTTAGTTATTTATAGAATTTTCTTCTATAATACCTTGATAATTATCGTCTCAAATATAACTTAGTTATTTATAGAATTTTTTTCTATAATACCTTTATAATTATCGTATCAAGTTTCAATTTTTTTTTTGAAGGTTAGATATTCTGTGGTCGATATTTTATGAAAGCTGACTGATAGTTCTGTCGTAAAAAGTGATTCTCACAGATCCAGGGTCATGATAATATTTTATGCCAGCTCTGTTTAAGAAGAAACAAATTTCAAATGTATTAGTTTATCTTACAACAATGGAAACCATAAATATTAAATTTATATTAATGAAGATTGTTATTGAATGATAAAATATTATAAAAAAGTTTTTTTTTCTGTCTGCCTCTGCTTATTTAAGAAGTGATTGACCTTACAGTA